GATTTAACAAGAGTTAGGAAACTGTATAATTGACCTGATTTGGAAAAGTCTGTTTGGGGAATTGTGTATCAGGGAAACAACCCAACCCAAACAGCAAACCAAGAAAATGTGTTCGCTATTGTTATGGCGACATTGTTTGTATTGATGACAAATTAGGAATAAATGTTCAGCATTTGGGAAGTGGCTAAGCAAACTGTAATATAAATATGATCAAAAAATCATGTATTTAAAATGTGATTCTGTGCAACATAAACCTTTGTTTTCTGTATGCTGCTTAGTGAAAGGGCCTCTGGCCAGCCCAAGCAAGGCAGACATGGCTCTGGCAGGCCTTGCCTTTCTCCCCATTCCCCTCTGCCTTGCTAAAAACCATTAGATTATATTCCTAAAGCTAGCCTTCAAGGTCTGTTCTTTATTTGGCCATTCCTTCTGCCTACGGCTGGCTACCAAAGTCCAGCTATCAAAGTATTGAAATCCAGCAATCAAAAGTCCCCTTTGGCTCACCTAATTAACACGCCCAATTAAGGTTTAACACCTCATCCTAACATGAGGTTTTCTCTTTGTAAACCCCATTTGCCTAAGGCCCATGTCTGTCTATCCAGAGGTCGTCATTTGTCTCCACTCCTATCCCCCCCCCAACAAATACCCCTTCCTCCTCTCTGTTGTTCCTTTACCCTTCTCCCTTGTCCTCTATATCCATCTGTTTTTGTCTCTTATTCCCTGTCTTTTGTCCCTCAGGGGCAAATAAATCTCCCTGTGCTGAGAACTTGGTCTTGAGGTATCCTGAGCCGGTACCGATACTTCCAGTCAGGATTCTGTGTTTCTATATTCATAAAGATAAATGGGGAGTGGAGTGTATCTTGGTAGTAGAATGCTTGCTTGTCATAACAAGGCCCTGGGTTTGATCCCCAGAAGCACAAAAAGAAGGAGGAAGGAAGGGAGAAAAGAGATAAAAGTTCAGAAATGCTTTAGTAGAGATTTCCAGTAATTTTTATAAAATCACTTAAAATTTTAACTTAAAAAAAAAAAAATGAACACAGTCGGGTTTCTCCGTGCTTAAAATACTTGTATGTGCATGAATTTTACGGACACAAAAGGTCATTGACATACCATTAGATTTGAAATCTAATAATATGTATCATTTCTTGCTTTGCTGTTGTTAACATGCGCGATGCTGCCTTCTTCACGTGTTGCTTTTCATCTGTAGCCTGGTAGAGTATAGCTGCCTCCCTGATCATTACTCCACAGTATTGCTGGCGTGAGGAACTGCCCACTCCCCCTCAAACGTTTATAACACTTGCTTCTAATAGTAAAATCTGTCAAGAGAAAAAAAAAATCTCCCTTTAGTCCGGCCATCCAGGGTTATGAGCAACTGCTTGTTTTCTTACACTTGTGCCAAGTCACGGAGAAGCCCTCTGTGAATTGTCCCTTTTAAATTGCTGATGAGCACCAGGACAGCGTGATGCACTCCTGTCTTCCCCGTTCTTGGGAGGGAGAGATAGGATCACAAGTTGAAGACTGGTCTCGTCTCATCAGTGAGTTCAAAGCCAGGCTGAGCTATGTGAGACTTTATCTCAAAACCGCAAAACCAAAATAAGGCGGTCTACTTGCCTAACCCCTTCCTTCTCCTCCTCATGTACTTGAAACCCCCCCCCCCCCACACACACACCCATACATCCTTCCTTTAGGAACAATACAGATGCTTCATTTTGGCTTGTTAGAGAGTGTTCTGATAAGCCCTTAGCAAGCTGAAGATACAGTGAGCGGAAAATGCATGAAATATACCCAGCCTCCTGCACACTGCTCCTGAGCACCACAGGCCTCTTAAGAGTCTGTTGTTTCCCTTCATGCTCACGGGGCTGGATGGAAGTTCTGGTACAGCATTACAAAAGAGAGTCATGATGACCAAAAATACCCAAAATAAAGTGGAGTTTCTCCTGCATGTGTGAGTATCCTTGGTCAGCTTTGACAAACAGCCAAATCTCAGTTGCACCATCCAGAGTCAGGAACTTATGTAACTGAGGTTGTACAAGATCAAGTGTTAGGAAAGAGAAAGCCTAACGAATGATAAATCTCAGAGAGACAGAAATATGCACCCTTGGCTAATAGCGCTTCCTCTAAACCCAAAGGGCAACTGTGTTTCATTAAGCCTGTGACTGAAAAGAATGACATGTTAAAATTACACATCTTAAGTCATAGCACTCATAACAGAATTCCTTCTTTGAAAACAAAACAAAAGTAATGGGGCCAGGCATGGCGGCTCACACCTGAATCCCAGCACTCAGGGGGCTGAAGCAAGAGGATTCTGAGTTCCAGGCAAGCCTGGCCTTCATAGCTAGAATCCATCTCAAAAGGAAAAGGGTGGTAGAGCCATTCATTCAAACCGATGGTAAAATCTGACAGAACTTTGTTTTCGTCCACTATCAGAAGACTTGGTGAGTACTTCTTAGGCACAAACTCTCAAATGCCTGGGGGTTTAAAAGAAGCTATTTGCCATTCAAATACAGATGTGTAGAACTCTGGGTATCATACTTGTCAGCTCACAACAAAACCAATGAAAGATGTCTCAAATGTGAATGGATTATTTGTTCAACCCCATGTATGGGATATCCCCATTCTGTGGACCATTTTCAGAGCTGGAAGAACATGCCAAGTAGATACAGGAAGGTTCTCGGTGTCATGGAGCCTTCATTCTTTTCGGGGGGGAAAGGTGCATGATTAGAAAACATACATGGCACTGTAAGTGGAAAATACAATAGAGTCAAAAAACAGATAACGGGATTTGGACTGGGTGGTTATCAGTTACTTTACTCATTGCTAAAGCAAAAATATCTCAGCAGAACAACTTACGGGAGAAAGGTTTGTTCTGGTTTCTAGCTCAAGAGGAGGCTGGCTGGCGGCAGGAGCTTGAGGAGGCAGCTGGTCACATCCGTCCATAGTCAGGAAGCGGAGAGCCGTGAGTGCCAGTTCTCAGTTAGCATTTGCACTTCATGTGATCTGGCATTCAAGCTCAAAGAATAGTGCCATACTCCACCTGATCTTGATAATCCCTCACAGGTGTGTCTAGGGGCTTGTCTCCTAGAGATTCTAGATTCTGTCAAGTTGACAATGAACACTGACCAAGCTTGGCGGGGAGGAAGGTGTGGCATTTCACACACATTCATCAGAAAAGATCTTGTTGGGAGATCAACAGGCTAAACTGCCCCAATGCAATAGAAACACAGTGGTTTGCCCACGACAGCAGGTTATCTGTCATTTGCATTGACAATCTAAGAAGGGTGTCCCAAGTCTGTGTGAGGTTCTCTCCCACGAACTCATTCAGGCAATCAGGCTCCTTTGAAGATCTGAAGGCCTCACAGCCCCCCAGGACCTTGCCGTGCCAATGTCATGGCTGAGTTACACATTCAGACCTCAGGCAGAGAAAAGGCACACACACTCCCAAAGGCCTTGGCTCAGAAGTGACACTCTCCACAGCTGCTCTCTCTTGGTGAGATCTCGGTCATGTGGCCAGATAACGGCAGGAACCACTTAGCAGTATGGTAGCCATGATGCCTACCACAGAATCCACTGAGGCAAGCTGAGGAAAGATGAAAGTGTCTTAGATAAGAAAGGGAGCCACAGAGGTGGTGAGGAATGACCAGATTAGGGATGGACTGGATTTACAGATGGAACGGAGATACAAGCAGCAGAAAGAGAAGTCTGGATCAATATCAACTGTTCGCAGAAATCATATCATTTACTCTGCCTTCAGAGAAGCCCTGGGAAGAACAGATTTCTGCATTAGCCATGTTAAGTTTGAGGTGCTTTGCTGCCTAGCCGGGGGAAGTATTGGTGAGACGATTAGATATTGAAACTTACCTTCCAAGATGACCCATTTCAGAGTTCTCATTTAAAGCACGGGGCAAGATGGGCTCTCTTAGAAGAGAGGGGTGCGAGGGACTGGACATGGGGGTGCTCCAGTGTTTTTGAAGGAGGAGAGGAAAGAAAAAAGGAGACCGAGAAAGGGTGAGGAGGAAAACAGGAAGGTGTGATACACTGGAGATGGTGATCAGAGGCTATGGAAGTTCCGTTTGCTGTTTCAGCACTTAGGAGAATGAGTTCACTGGATACAAGCTCTCTGGGAAAGCTCACGTGGAAACAGATGTGTCTGCTGGGGACCACTGGCAGTCCCAGACTGTGAAACGTGTGTTAGTCAGCTTCAAATTACTCTAACACCCGACATAACAAACTTAAAAAGAGAAAAGGCTCCTTTTGGCTGGCAGTTTGGGAAGTTTTCATCCACAGTCAGCCTCTCATTTGGGAGCCTGTGTCAAGATAACGCTTCATTGCAGCTGTATGTGTTGGAACATAACCACTCACATCATGGCCAGGCCACTGAACAAAGTCCTTGTACCAGGCTCCGCCTCCTAGCAACTCTAGCACCCTATTGGGTCTGATGTGCCTGAAACCCATGATGAAGGGAGTAGAATGTGGATATATTTGTGCTCAGCTCGTCTTTGTCCCCTCAGCTTCTTCAGCTGTCAGAGGAAGGAGGAAGGGGAAGGTCCCCTCCCTCTGCCTCCGTTATCAGCTTCTGGTCTGTATTTGAGACCAGGCTAACTTAAATTACCAGCAGTTAGATGGTAGCAAAAACTAGCCTGTTGTAGACAAAAGCCAGCCCAGCCCATCAGTTCCAGTGGTCACACTAGGACCACAAGGAATCCAGCACCTTATTTCTGACACCCTCCAACTGAAAGAGAGGGAAGATCTGGACACGGAGGGCCCCAGACCACAGATATGGACAAATATGCAGTAGACTTGGGAGCCTCCCTCTTCTGCTCTGGCCTTTCTTGCCACTCTTCTCAGGTCTGTGCTGGTATGAGGGTGGGAGAAAGTATTAGGAGCTAGCTCTAGGCTGACCCACAAAATTGAGCTTGTAGCTATTTGCTTATAAAAATAGGGAGGGTTTGGTAGTAAGTTGGTTACTTGAAGGATTTGGCTAACTTTTTTTTTTTTTTTTCCAGATTTCTTTCTGAAATGCAGACTTCAGGAACAAGAGGTCCAGAGGAGACCAAGCGCTTTCTACACTAGGCTGTGTAACCCCTGGCTCTCGCTGCTAGGGGTGAGTAATTTCATCTTGATCTCAGTGTTCTTAAGAACTCGGGTGAAAGTGTGTGTGTGTGTGTGTGTGTGTGTGTGTGTGTGTGTGTGTGTGTGATTTGGGGGAAGGAAAAGTATTAATTAGCACTAACATGAGTAAATTGCTTGCTTTATTAGAATTAAGGTGAGACTACTATGACAAGATTTACATTTAATTAATCACTCATTTTAATCAATTATCTACTACTCAAATAATCATATGTGATGACCCCTGGGTTACTAATTTCATGCTAATTTGCTGACTGAAGGCAGGAGTGGGGCCCTGAAACAGTGTGATAATTAATCTCGAATGTCAGTGTGGTAAGGTCTAGAATGGACTGGCAGACAGGCTTTTGGGCATGTCGGTGGGGCTTATCTTGATCAGCTGAGGTGGGGGAAACTGCCCATTGCTGGTGGCACCATTCCCTAGGTTGGGATCCTGGACTGTATAAAAGGGAGAAAGTACAAACATTCTTCACGCTCTGCTCCAGACTGTGAGTGCGATATGACTGGCTGCCTCAGGTTCTCACGGCTGTGACTCCCCACCTAGCCACAATGGACTGTGACCGTGAGCCTCCACCTGTGAGGCAAAATAAGCTCTTTCTTCCTTAAGCAGATCTTGTCAGGACAGTTTATCACAGCAACTAGGAAAGTAGCTAAGATAGCGCTTTTGGGGGGTTTTGATTAAGGGGTTACTTTCAGAAGGCATTTCCCTCCAAAATCTTGCTTGAGTTAATGTTTCATTACATTTTTCATTCCAGAATCCAGAAGCAGGGCTCTAGATCCTGATTGTTAAATTGACAGTTGACACTAACCATCATGGTCCCACCCCTTGACAGTTTAACAACCAAGCCATTCACTTCAAGCTATAGCTTTCCACCTCTTGTCCTCATGGTCATGGCCATTTCATAATGCAAGATGTTCGGTTCACCCCGAAAGCCCCCATATTCTTTAACAATTTCAGCAGCATTTAAAGTTCGATGTCAAAGTCTCATTGGAGACTGAAGGCAGTCTCTTAACCCTGAACTCCTACAAAATTAAAATAAGTTACATACCTCCTATATGCAATGACACAGAATAAATGTTCTCATTCTAAAAGGAAGGAATGAAGGCACACAAAGAATGATCAGAGCAAAGCAAGACCAAAACCCACAGAACAAACACTAAATCCTGCAGCTTCGTGTCTGCATGGAATCAGACATAATTAGGGGTTATGGAATCCTTGAGCACAAAAAGGCTTGGATAGCCCTTCCCAGATAGCTATCCTGCCTTGGGAACTTAATCTTTTTTTTTTCTTGGGCTCACTGTATTTTGTGCCTGTAGCTTTTCTCAGTGGATATCCCATGGTCCTGGCGTCTACAATATCCTGGGCTCTTTGTTGTAACTTAGGCTTTACCTCACCACGTCACACCATGTCTTCTCAAGGTCTCCTTATAGAGGTTGCAACCTTGCAACACACTGACAGGTCCCAGTGTCTGTCTGGAATTGTGGTCCAACTCCACAGCCCCACCCCGAGTCTTGCATCTTTCATGCATCTAGAACCAGTACCAACTTCTACAATGCTACCAAATTCTGCTGCTATCTTAGGCTCCTTTGACCACAGTTGTATCAGCTTTTGTGTGTTAATCCTGGGAAAACATGTCTCTAGGCAAGTGCTTTTGAGAACAAGGAATCTGCTTCAGTGGCAATCTCTTGCAATATAGGCTATATCCTTTCAAATAAATTTGTGTTTTCACAAGCCTTTGATGGGTCTTTGATAGGTTCTTTCCCTAAGGACATCTCTCCTCTTATCCCATTACAAAGCAGAATGCTTCTCTTTAACAGTCATAGCCTTTTTTTCAGCATGTGCCTTTGTCTCATAGTTTAATTTATTCAAACTCTTATCCTTGACAAGGCACAGTTTATTTCTGCCTTTTTCCTCAACTTTTTGAACTTTTTCACTGTAGACCTGAATAAATGCAGCAGAAAGTCTTCATACCATCACCTGAATGCTTTCTCATCTTGAAATTCATCCACCAAACAAATTAATCTATCATCTTCAAGTTAAACTTCATGTAAGTCCTTAGGACATGGCAAAATGAAATCACAGTATTGGCCAGAATATGACATAAATGCCTTCTAGCCAAGTCCTGACAGAGTCCTTGTTTCTTTTGGAGACATCAGGAGCTAGGTCTCCACTGTCTTACGTTTCTATTGGCATTCTCATCTTCCAAGCTCCTACTAAAATGTTCCATTATTTAAAGACTTCACTATCACAGAGTTCCAAATGCTTCTGTATTCCACCTGCAAAACCAGTTCAAAAGTGCTAAGAACCATGTGGCCAGGGTCATCACAGCAACAACCCCACTTCTGGTACTATTTCTCTAGTAGTTTAAGTTTCTTGTTACTGTAACAAAAGCAGCTTAAGAGGGAAGGGGTTTATTTTGGGTAATTGTTTGATGGTGCAATCCACCATGACAGGAAAAATCTTTGCACCAGGAGCTTGAAATAGCTAGTTGCATTGTATTCACAAGGCAGATGAATGCCTGCGCTCAGCTGGCTTCTTCCTTTCCTTGTGGTCTAGGACCCTAGCAAGCCCAGGGGATGATGTCACCTCCCTTTACATCGGATCTTAACACATCCATAAACCTAAGCAAAATAATCTCTCACAGTCATGCCCTGGGGCAAACCTGATCTAAATAAAGTCCTCACAAACATGCCTAGAGACTTGTCTCCTGGGTCATTCCATATCATGTCAAGGTAACAGGTAACTCCACCTGTCCTAGTTTACTTTCTATGGCTGGGGTAAATGCTGTGACCGAATGCAATCTGGGGAGGAAGGGCTTTATTTCATCTTACAGTTCCTAGCCATCACAAAAGGAAGTCAGCTCAGGGACTCAGGGCTGGAACCTGTAGGCAGGAATTGATGCAGAGGTCATGGAGGGATGCTGCTTACTAGCTTGCTCCCCACAGCTCTTCCAGCCAGCTTTCTTATGCAACTCAGGAGCACCAGCCCAGTTAATTAAAAAAAAAAAAATGCCTAGAGGCCAATCTGATAGAGACCTTTTCTCATCTGGGTTCCCTATTCCCAGATGACCTTAGTGCAAGTTGAAAAAAAAAAAACAAAACAAAAAACAAAACCCTACCAGCACGCTACCACAGCAAGATTTCATTATAAGCAAGCGTCAACTAGTCAGACTTTTACAGAGCTCAGAAGCTGGTAAGAGACCACTGTCTCCTAAGGTTTTCTAGCCTTGTGTTTTATTAACGTGTGCAAACCCGTTAGGTGACTTACTCTTTCTATCCGTTTCCGTAGGCTGTTGCATCCTTTCTCATCATGTTTGTGATCCAGTGGGTCTATACCCTAGTTAGCATGGGCGTTGCTGCCACTATGTATTTCTACATTGGTCAGGCCAGTCCAGGTCTATACCTTGGTAAGTGGCTAAGTCATTGTACTACCATTTCCCTTATTTTTTCCAGCTTTCACTGAAGAACTTTGTGTTAAGAAATATGACATAGACACAAATGATTATAAATGAAACATACTAACAATTAATTTGAGATTTATAAGACCTATAGAACTAAAGTGGATGACAACAGTAGTGAGGGAACCAAGAAGGATAAAATAATATGTTGAAATAAAGTATACTGATGTAGCATATATTATACATTTTTCTCTGCTCTGAGTGCTATACTATCATTTGAAGATAGAGTGGGTTAAGGTTAAGATGTATAATGTAAATCCTAAGCCAGCCACTGTATAATAGCTAATAAATCAACAGAGGTAAAACTTGAATGAGAAAACCAAACCAAAACAACATATTAAGCGTTGGAGAGATGGCCCAGTGAGTAAAGGCATTTATTTGCTGCAAAGCCTGGCAACCTTAGTTTGAGCCTCAGGACTCGCATTGTAGAATGATAAGACCGACTCCTGCCAAGTTATCCTTTGACTTCCACACAGGTTACTGTAGCGTGTGTGTGTGTGTGTGTGTGTGTGTGTGTGTGTGTGTGTGTGTTATACACTGAAATAAATAAAATAAGCAAATATAATTTAAAAATTTTAAAGCACATCAAAGACAGAAAGGAGCAAAAATACATATAATAAAGAATATTTATTGGTAATAATTAAACAAAGACATAACCTGTGCATGTAAGGTCATGGGTAACAAAAGTGGGACAATATCAGATTCAAGGCCAGCCTGAGTTAAACAAAGGATAGCACTGATATATATATATATATAAGACTATGTATATTGATTATCAGTAAATATAGAGAGTCTAAACAACTAAGTGATGGTTAAAAAAAATTCTGACCCAACTATATGCTGCCTACAAGAAACTTCTTTTAATTGATAAATTTATTTTTGCAGTGTAGAGATCAAACCCAGGGACTTTGTATACTAAGAAAGTGCTTTGTCCTCGAACTACATCCACAGCTAAAGAAATCTGTTTTAAATAAACACACACACACATACACACACAAGTAGATTAAAAATAAAAAGGATGTGAAAATATATACCAGGCTCACTCCGATCAAAAGACAGCTGGAATGGTTACATTAACATCAGATAGGTTTCAGAGGAAAGGCTGTTGCCAATGATCAAGAGGATCACTTGATAAAGGTGAGGGGGAAAACTCATGAAGAAAACATAGTAAGCCTTAACTTAACTTCCATACCCTTAAAAACAGAGCTTTAACTGGGTAGTGGTGGGGCATGCCTTTAATCCCAGCAACTGGAAGGCAGAGGCAGATGGATATCTGAAAGTTCGAGGCCAGCCTGGTCTACAAAGTGAGTTCCAGGGCAACCAAAGCTAAATAGAGAAACCCTGACTCAAAAAAATAAAAAATTAAAACAACACCACCACCACCCCCAAAATAAAAATAAAAAACCAGCCCAGAGCTTCAGAATACATGAAAGCAGAATCTTACAGAATGAGGAAAAATAAAATAAAAAAGTTCATAGTCACATAGATTTCAACGTTTGCCTCCCAATAACTGACATATGTAGGAATAAAGTTAGTAAGGCCATTGAAGACCTGAATAATACCGCCAACAAGCTTGCCCTAGCGTTTACAGAATATTCTCCCCACAACAGCAACATTCACATTCTTTTCAGTAACAGGAAACATAAGGATGTTTCAGGTAAGGTTTTGGTAAATTTAAAAGTATTCCGGCCAGTTGAATAAAATATTTCTCTGAAGGAGGAAATAATTAGAGACAAACAACAGGAAGGTAATGGAAAAAAATCCCCAAATATTTTGAAGGTAAAGAATGTTAAGTAACTAAGAGCAGCGAGTAAGCTATAGAAACTAGCAGAAGTTTCACAACAGAACTGGAATTACAATGCATTTTGGACAAATGAAACAAAAAAAATGCAGAATATCAAAACTGTAAGGTATAGCTAACAAATTCATAGCAACAAGTTTGTATATCATCAAAGAAGAAAGTTCTCAAAGCAGTGACCTCAGACCTCGGCTTTGAACTTAAGAATTAGAAATTTAAAAAAAAAAAAAAAAAAAAAAGAAAGAAAAGAAGTAGAAAAGTGGCATTGGGGATGAAAGTGGGACAAGGACACATTAAGTATCATAGTAAGACTCAAACAGGTACAAAACAAGAAAAAAAAAAGAATACAGACTTTATTAGTTACTTTTTTGTTGCTGTAAAAAAAAAAACAAACAAACAAACAAAAAAACACCATGACCAAGACAACGTAGAGAAGGAAGGAGTTATTTGGGCTTATGGTTCCACTGGGATTAGAGTCTGTCTCGGCAGCAAGCAGCAAACATGGAGGCAGGAGCCGAATGCTGAGAGTTCACATCTTGAGAGGCAAAGCACAAAGCAGAGGGAGAGCACCAAGAGTGGAGGGGGCGCATTAAAACCTCAAAGAGCACCCCCAGGGACATGCCCCTCCAGCAAGGCCTCATGTCCAAAACTTCCCAAACAGCACCACCATCTGGAGACCAAGCGGCCACGCTCTTGCACATATGAAGGACATTGTCATCCAAACTGCCACACCAGTTTAACAAAGGATGACGCAGAAGAGCAGCAGCCCTCTACCCAGACTGATAAGAACAAGCTAAGATGCAAATGACCAAAACCAGGAATAAAAGAGATTCTGTCATTGGAGAGTCTATGCATATCACGAGGACAAGAGCAGAGTATGGCCCTATGACCGTGCTCACCTTTAATCCCAGCATCCATGAGGCAGAAGCGGGCAGATCTCTGTGAGTTCAAGGTCAGCCTGGACTACACAGCAAGTTAGAGGCCAGCGAGGGCTACGTAGTGAGACCCTGCCTAAAAAAAAAAAAGAAAAAGAAAAAGGAAAAGAAAGAAAAGTATCTTCTTTCTAGTGATAAAAATAGAATGCCATAAGTGGAATAATTTATAAACAACAAAAAATTATTTGGCTACGGGTTCTGATGACTATGAAGTCTAGGATCAGAAGCTACTTAGGTTAGGGCCTAGTTGATACATTGTAACACAGAAAAAGAGAGCCCATGGTAGATATGGAAGTGGGGAAGGGGAAGAGAAGGACGAGGAAGGAAGGAGAGGAAGAAAGATGAACTGATCTTTTCATCAGAAACCCAGTCCTCCCAGGACAGAGCATCACTCCAGTTATGAGAACAGAGCCACCTTGGCTGGACCACCTAAGGATCCTGCCTTTCGACACTTAGATTAGAGATTAAGTTCCCACACATAACCTTGTGGGACACATCAAACCATAGCACACACTTTATATTGTTCCTCTGTAATAAAGCAATTTTAAAGATGTATTAACAGCTGAGTGATACTCCATTGTGTAAAAGTACCACATTTTCATTACCCATTCATCAGCTGATGGACATCTAGGCTCTTTCCACTTCCTGGCTATTGTACACTTACACAATGGAGTATTAGTCAGCTACTAAAGATGAAATTATGGGATGCACAGGTAAATGAATGGGACTGGAATCATCATCCGTGAGGTAACCCAGGCTAAGAAAAACAAATGTTGTATGTTTTCTCTTCTATGTGAACGTTAGCTTTAGGTATGTGTGATTCATTTAGAATACCCACAGAGGTAGGAAACTAGTAAAGGGTCGCTAGGAGTGTGCTTTTAAGACAGGCTGGCTGTGGTGGTGCATGCCTGTAATCCCAGCACTCTGGGCGGCAGAGGCAGGTGGATCTCTGTGAGTTCAAGGCCAGCCCGGTCTACAAAGTGAGTCCAGGACAGTCAGGGCTACACAGAGAAGCCCTGTCTAAAAATAGAAAGAAAGAGAGAAAGAAAGAAAGAAAGAAAGAAAGAAAGAAAGAAAGAAAGAAAGAAAGAAAGAAAAGGAAAAAGATAGGAGACATAGAATTGAGTGATAAAAAAGGAGGAAGAGAGAATAATGGAATAGGAAAGCTGAAATGCAGTGGGAGGGTAAACAATAGATAATGGGAAAGAATAACACTTTTGAAAAGCCATTCTTAATATTGTAGAAGCTTCATTATATATACATATACATACATACATACATATGTATGTATATATTAAAAGTTATTAAAGTTATATACATATAACTTTAAATGGAGTTGTCCTATAATGGGACAGTACTCCTCCAACAAGATACCATGTGCTAGCGAATAAAAACCCTAGTATCAGAATGGGTTACCTCTTTTGAATCATTGGCCAGTGAGGTCCCATAGAACCCTCAAACGTTATAGGTTATAGACTGTACCCACTGTTCTTGGCTACCCTCTAGCATCTGACCAGCTTCCATAGTGCTGGAAGGTGATGTGAATGCTACTGGAGGAGAAAGGGACTCATCAGTCCCACCCAGCTGCACCCTTTGAGCTTTGAGCTTTGAGCTTTGAGCTTCCTATAATAACTGACCTGGCAGGATATGCACACCAGCACAATAGTGACACAACTCTTATTGGGGTAACCACTTTATGATTGATCTAAGGTCCGCACCATGAGATGGAACCCATATGTGGCACTGTGATGGGGCCAAGAACCTGTGGATGGATAGACCATAGGCCCCCGAGGAGAACCTAATACTGCCAAATAGACACCATTAAAACAGCTCTCAGGGACTTACTGCTACACCCGTAGACCCTGGCAGCCTTCACCAGGGAAACTTTCTTAAAGTGCATGGCAGTTAGCGGAGACCTTCAACCGATCAGCATATAGAGAACATGGAGACTAGAGTGCTTGCCCTGAAGAGGACATGCATACTGCATTCCTCACTCCAAGGCTCAGGACCTCTCTAAACAGGGGCAGAAAGATGTTAAGAGAGGAGGTAGATCACCTCAAGGAGGCAGCCTGTTCCGGACTCGACGGGGCGCTTGTACTTCCATACTCGTGATGACCGTGACTGCACGATCCTTGCTACAAGCTCCAGCCACACAAAATCCCACCGTGGACAGAGGGAGGTAGGAACAAAATTCCACCGCTGGACGAGCTATTGGCATTTGAAAGCTGCTGGGAGAAGGAAAATAAATTTTATTTTTAATTTATTTTTCTTAAAAAAAAAAAAAAAAAAAGCCCCAGTTGACCTGGAACTCACAATCCGTAGACAGGACTGGCCTTGAATTCACAGAGATCTGCCTGCCTCTGCTTCCCAGAATTTTGGGATTAAAGGCTTGCACCAGTAGACCCAGCCTGAGAGTCAGTTTGCTCTAACGGTGTGACCTCCAGTAGGCTGGCCACACTCCAGGGCAGTCCCCACTACCCAGAGCAGTGGGCAAGACAAGTCGGCCTCAGAGTGGGTTCAAAGAAGAAGGAAGCTGGAAGCCTGGTGGGTAGGGAGGACGGGGTGGGGGGATCTGGAAGGAGCTGAGAGCGAGCACTGAATAGGATCAAAATTCATTGTAGGAAATTCCCAAATAATTAATAAAAATCTTTTTTAAAAGAAGAAACAGTGAGAGGGGATGGGAGGGATGGCTTGGCAATTCGAAGCACCCTCACCGATTGTAGAGGGCACATGTTCACCCCAGCACCCACATGGGGAGGCCCACGGCCTCCTACAACTCCAGGCCCAGGGGATCCAATGTCCTCTTCTGAACTCAAGTGAGCGTGCCCCCACACGCAGACACTGTTACAAATAAAAAGAAATGCTTTAAAAAGATGTGTCGGAGGGCTAGATTGCTTGCATAGCATGCCCAAGGTCCTGTCCTGGGTCCAGTCCCTAGCACCACACACAAATACACACACACACACGCACACACACACTGGGGAGTTCTTTCCAGAAAACTTTATGATGCTCCAATATAAAATAAAGCAATTATTATCACCAGGTGTGGTGGTGCATATCTTCAATCCCAACACCCAGGAGACAGACACAAGTAATCGTCGTGAGTTCAGGGCCAGCCTAATCTGCATGGTGAGTTCTAGGCCAGCCAGAGTTACACAATACCACTCTATCTCAAAAGAAAAGAAAAAGTAATTATCAAGTCCTAACTAAAAAGTTCTTCAGATTTATTACAGTTTGGCGTATGAATTTTTACAGAAATGCACTTTAGATATTTAAAGTGGAAAAATGTACTAAAAATAATGTCTTAGGAAAACAGTAATGCTAAGAGGTCCTATACCATCTAATTTTATAGACAGAATATATTTTAATTAGCATAACGATTATATCAATGATTGCTTCATCTTAGGAAATTTAAATATTTCCCAGGAATCCAATCACAGTAAACAGTATGGAATAAAATTTCAAGCCAGTGTCTATAATTTAGATGATTTAGAATTTAGATGATCACATGTAAGTAATATCAGTTAATAGCTGTTTTATTTTGTAGCTTCTTATAAAATATGTATTGATTTTCTGCATATATTAGGAGACTCTTCTCTACAATTATGCATGCTAAGGCAGATCTATAATGTTTGTTCTGTTTCACCACAGGAGTCCTACAGGGTACCAAGATAAGATTTTAACCTGAGTGTCTTAAAATGCTGATTCCCTGGTCACATTTTAAACATGATCTGACCAGTCAATTTCAACAGTATCTGTTCTTGTAATTGAGGGACGCTATTTTGTTTTTGTTTGGTTTTTCAAGACAGGGTTTCTCTGTGTAGCCCTGGCTGTCCTGCACAGGTCACTGTCATGGTCACTCTGTAGACCAGGCTGGACTTGAACTCACAGAGATCCACCTGCCTCTGCCTCCTGAGTGCTAGATTAAAGGCGGGTGCCACTACCATCTGGCTGAGGACTGTGGCATTTTCTAAAAGTAAGTTTGATTAATTTTTCCAAAGCTATACATAATTTGAGCTCAGCGTGGTAGTGCATGCCTGTAATCCTAACACTTGGAATGCAGAGAAAGGAAGACCGTTAAGTTCAGGGCTAGCCTGGACTAGAATGAGACCCTGTGTTGGTGGGATTGGAGGCGGGGACTATATAAACCTTACTATGCTGCGACACAGGTTTGGGCACATTTGGTCCCAGTTGATAGTTCCGTTTGGGTTGGGGTTAGGAGGGGGGGCAAGGTTGGCCTTGCCGGGGGGAAGCCTATCACTGGACGTGGGCTTGGAGGTTTCCAAGCCACACAAGATTTTAAAGCCACATGCTGGACCCAATTTGATTTCTTGGCTTCCTGATTGTGGTTTAAGATGTGAGCTCTCAAGCTGCTGCTCCAGGCAATCTGCTTGCTTGCTGCCATGCTTCCCTGCAGTGATATCATAAATTTATACTATAATATGTAATGTTAATAATATATTTATATAATAATTACATGATACAATATTATGTCATGTATAATCATTGTTACATACATATGTATTTCACTATATACATATATTTAAGGTTGACCTTTACTCAGACCAGTGTATCATACACAAAGGTTATTTGGCCAATATAACAAGCAAACAGACAAAACTCCTCACTTCAAACATTTTTGCACGCTGAACTGTTTTGTTCACTTAACCCCTATTAGAAACTCCCCAACTGCTAGATCCTGTGAGAGGATGCAAAAGCCATGTTCCCTGTTCTCAGAGAGTGTGCAGTCCTCGTGGAGGAATTTCACAGCATGCATCCAACACACACAGATGTGGATCTAGGAATGAGCATCATGAAAATGTGTTTTAATTCCCAAGATGCAAGTCAGCAAGTCATCTCCTCCTAAGATGTCTGGAGTTTAGAAATGAATTCTTGGAAACTGTACGTGAGCCCAAGGCAGGCTGTTGCCAGGCTGCCTGACGGTTAATGTGGTTTGGTTCAAATGGGAAAGTGTGTGTGTACTGTGTTTAGGGTTGTGCAAGCCCCTCATGAAGCTGGGCTTCAAGTTGTCTATGTGAAATTCTCAAAACACATGCCCATGCCTTCCTCACAGGGTCAGCTTCAAACTTCAGCTTTTTCCGATGGATGAAGTCCTTCCTGATCCCTTCCTGCAGGTTTGTGCCTACTGGGGCTGGTATAGGAGGGTGAGTGTCCCAGAGTCTGGGGAGGTCCTGAGCAGTCTTGCTCCTGGCTGTGCTTGGGCCTGGGCTTTGGTGTGGAACCTGACAAGCTCCAGGAAGTTGGAGGTTGCCTCTCACTGCCCTCCACACTAGGTACCCAGGCCTTGCTCCTCCCTGCTCCAACACACCTCTCTCCCAGCTCTGGCTCTTCAGAACCTCCTACAGGCTCATGCCCTCTTCCTTTCATGTCCTGGGTCTTAATGAGCCAGGCCTTCATCTAGAATCTGATTGTTGGGTGACAGGTAACTAGAGTTGATCTCAGTGCGTTATGGTCTAAGACACATTCCCACCAATACTTCATCATGTCCAAGATGAAAGCCCAAGGAAATGGAAAAAGGGATCTCATGTTTCTCAGCACAGGCCAAAGGCTTTAGTTAAGAGTCATGGTACCAGTGATAGATGCGCTAGCCAAGTATGAACAGAAATGAGAGGCCCTGGAGGACTGCTGTGTGACCACGTGCTCACATACACAGAAGGGGGGGCTTGAGAGAGAAGGGTGTGATCCCTGTAACTCCTCCCCTCTCTAGTAGGAAGCCAGAACTTCCTTATTGAGGCCTCAGGGTTCTGGGAACTTCTTTTGCTTTCTGTCCCCTTTCAGTATCAGTGAGAAGCCAAAGCTGCAGGTCAGGGTTTATTTGGTTTCATTTTGATGGTTTGATTTTTGAAACCCTAGATGTCTGGTTTGTACTTGCCAATATCTGCCCCTTCCACACCCAGACACTACAATTGAAGTTTAGGACCTGTTCCCATTGATCCCAGGTGTAAGCTTAGAATCCTTTTTCTCTCTTTGTCTCTCCCTCTTTGGCTTTTTTAAAAAATTGTGGTAAACAGAATTTATCATCCTAATCATCTGTAAGTATATAGTCATGGTATTAAATACAATAATACAATGATATTGTCATATAACATTCATCACCACTCATCTCCCGAATTGAAACTCCATGCCCACTGTACTCTGAAACCCCTGGCACCATTTGCTTTTTTTTTTTAACCCATGTGTATTGGAGAGGGAGATATATGTAGAAGCCCAACAGGCCAGAGTTGTTAGAGCTCTCTGGAGCTGGAGTCACAGGCAGTTGAAGCCGCCCAACTTGGGTGCTGGGAACTGAACTCAGGTTCTAAGCAAGAGCATTCCTTTCTCTTAACCGCCGAGCCAGCTCTCCAGCTCCTACCCCAGCATCCTTTTTGAGAGCGCTCTTTGCGAATGCTCCCAATCTGTTCCAGTTGGCATGAGGTATGAGACTTTGGTGCTAGTGCTTGGGATGACAAAGAAAAAGGTGTACAGTTATGGAAACGAACAGAGGAGTCAAGAGATTTGAGGGCCCTGGAACTGAGGGAAGAGAATGAGCACTGTCTGCTGCATTGCTGGTTGTTAAGGGTCCTTGGAGCTGTGGTAAATGTGGGGTAACCTCTGCCTCGCCTCTTATCTGAGGCAGGAGGCTGGCTTAGGTCACAGTGCACCTGCACAGATTTCTTTCCTGCACAATCTAGCACTGAGAGAAAGTAGATTAAGTGGAAATAGGTTTGGTATAGAAGCTGCCTACAAAATTCTGACCTTCAAATGTGTGGGTGGGGATATTTGGTATAATCTGATTTACAAGAATATACTTAGTCATTTCTGCCTTGAAAGCCTAAAAAATGGCCACTGGAGTTCACGGAGGTTCCTTCTGCTGTGCTCCGAATTCCTGGAATGCCACCTCCAAGGTCACGGCGGGCCACTGTAGTAGGAGAGTGTTCCAAGGAGAAGCAGCCCTTTGATTGGACAGAAGTCAGTCCACACAATTCTTCACTCAGTACGTGGCTTGTGAAGTGGAGCCTTGGCCAAGTCAGCATCAAACTTGCTGGCCACACCTCAGCCCCTGGGATCCTGGGTGTGTCCTGTGATGATTTAGATGAGGGAAGGCCAAGAAGAGGCTTAAAAATAGAAACTGGTAATCGAGCTCTCCGCTGGGTAGTTTTGACTATTTCCAAAATGTCCTTCAAAACCAAAGGAGAGTCACAGTTAAGTGTGTTTGGGCAGAATGATTTGGCTATATTCTGTCCTCTACGATACCTGGGCCTCACAGTTATTCTGTGAGGTTAACCCTGACCTTTAGAAGGCTTTCTTCCCTGGAGCCCTAGCAACTGTCCAGAGGACAGTCTGTAGCAATTCTAGAAAGCTGTATTTTGCTGAATCCAGAAGAATGTGTGGCTTTTACCTATTTAAAACAAAACAAAATAAAACCAAAAAGCAATAAGACATAATGTTGATTGTCTAGTGTGGCATTTTGGCCACGCCTGTTTTACAGTTCCACCCTTATGAAAACAAACTCAGCTCTCAGGAACGCCCAACCTAACTAATTTAGATTCATTCTCATCAAACAGCTGTCATGCTCCACTCATGTGACTGACCTAAGTTCCACGGACTCACAGCCTCCGGCTTTTCACATTGCTCTTTGTATCTCGTTTTATATCCCTGATTTGAACACTTGAGCATTATTCTGAGTAAAGTAGCTGATTCTTTCGGGGGTAAGATGGTCCCAGGAAATCTGTGCCTCTGTGAGAACTCGAGGGCCCATCAGGCTGTGGGCCTGCAAGGGCCGTGGAGGAGGGTGAGAAACCATAGGCCAGTGAAGACAGAGGCGTCCCGAGGCCACAGACTGATAAGAGACACAGCCAAGAGCTGCTCTGCCTCTCCAGCCTCTAACACCTTCCTCTGGCACATCCTGGAACATAATCTTCAGTGGCACACATCCTCATTTGTCTTTACCTTGGTACCCAAAGCCCTGGGCACTCAAGTCTTAGCTGCTTGCTGAGTAACCTTGGCGTCCTGGAAACCACTGCTCACTCAACTTCCTTCCTTTTTTTCTTTTCCTTCTTTCTTTTTATAGAATACCTTTTATTTATTTATCCCCTGATAATTCCATACATGCAAGCAATGCATCTTGATGACATGTATCATGTCCCCCGGGCACCTGCAACACACCCCCCCTTCCCATTTCACGCCCTCTCCGTCTCTGTAGTAACACCGAGTCCGATCAGTGCCGCCTGCTGGGATTTTGCTTGATCTTGTTGGCTTGACCGTGTGTGGGTAGTCGGGGCGGCAATGAGCAGTGGCCATGCCATGTCCAGAGGACAGCGTTGTACAGCGCTCCTCCCTGGTCTCTGTCTTTTTCTTACTGCCCCTCAGCCTCGGTGACAGGGATGCATACAGAGGTCTCATTTAGGGCTGAGTGCTCACTAGAGACCTAGTCTCGGCACTTTACCAGTGAGGAGTCTGTATGAACTGCCTCTCTGGGTCTGACTGAGGGCACTAATCTGGGTGTGTAAGCAATAACCATTTAGAAGGCGGTTTGACAACATGTTCTTTAGCAGAACAACAGGAACGGGTTCCTCCCTGGGGCCTGTGACCTCTGGGGCCATCACCTCTGACCAGGTTTGTGGTAGCAAGCCTTAACTCTTTTCTATGTAGTGGACCTCAAATCCAATCCAGAAGCAGCTGGTTACCCCATAACCTTCTGCCACGATTGCAGCCACAGGCGTATCCTGCCTGGAAGGGTGGTTTTGTGGCATGCAAGTCTGGCTGTAGGCGTACCACTGATGCCCTTTCCCCCCCTCCCTGCCCTCTGGTTAGAAGGTATAGTCTTATACTATTCCACTTAAGAACAGCTAATGTTCTCTTTACATCACTCGATACCGTATCTCCAACTTTGAATTCACAGACTATTGTAGTTAGCATCAATTAAATACATGCTAAGTGTTGGTACAGCTGGCGTTTGCACAGTGTCCCAATCCAGGGCAGACTGGCTTCCACAGTTCATCTCTGCTGCTTCCCTTCTCCCCATCCTATGTCTCTCCCTGAAGGAGCCTGAGGTCCAGCCGGGAGCAGATCATCTTGGCGCCATCCCCAGCCAAGGTTGACGTGGCAATGACTCAGCTTACCCAGGACAATGCAGACTTTGCCACCCGAGACCGTTATCACCATTCATCCCTCGTGAGTCGGGAACAACTGATGCCTTCCTACTAGAACCTTGCTGGACCCCGCCTTTCCAGGAGCCTCCGTGGAGATGGGGGACCCAAATCTCAGAACCTTTAGAAGAAACGTCAACACAGCTTCAGACACCAGAAATCACACGCTGGTCAGAAGTGGGAGGTCTATCCAGACGTTAGGTATGGCCGTGGCTTCCACATGTGCCCAACCTGAAGAGCCCACAGGCCACCAGGCTTATCAGGTGACACTAAGGCAATCAGATGTGGGGAACCAAAACCAGATTTCTTATTGTAAGGGCCACAATAAACACTTATTTTTAATTAAATTTTTTAAAAATATATACTACACTCACCTGATTCCAAGCTACGGAAGTATAATCATATGTAGGGTAAAAAAATCTCCTTCTGCTCCTTGGCCCTCATCTGCTTGGCACCCATCCCCCATCACAGGGGTAACTGCTTAGCATACATAGGGCAACCAATTCTTTGCAAACAGGAAAGGGGGTTCCTACCGTATCCTTTCCATCCACAAATGCAGCTCTGTATACATATGCCCTGCGTCTTACTTTTCCCCCTTAGTCTGCCTTGGAAGCATTTCCATGCTAACTGACGCTTACACAGTTTCCTCATTACATCTCGGTGTCTGAATGCGCCGTAATTTACTTAATCAGTCTCAAGATGATGGTACCCTGATTCGTTCTGATATTTTGCTATTACGGCCACTTCTGCAATGAGCCGTTATGTCTGCGTGCACAGTCGTGAGGCGTACTTGCAGACAGAGTCTCAGAAGGAGAATTCGGGGTCTGGGAGGGGTGTGTGCACTCATAAGCTGTTACTGTATGGAGAGGTGATTTATAGTAAAAAAAAAGTCGAATAACCAGCCGGGCATGGATGTTACCTGGAATCCCAAGCCTGGAGAGATGGAGACAGGAGGATCAAAAGTTTGAAGCCAGTCTGGGCTGTACAGTAAGACTCTGTATGGCGGGGGAGAGAGATTATTATGAATTGCCTAACAGCACTGTCAAAAATATAAGTCCCCGACTCCCGGACACCTTTGCAGCTGTTTTGTGACAAGAATGGCACAAGGCGACAAGACTCTTGGTTTCCCGGTGAGCTGGGCCTGACTGTCATCACGAGCAGCCAGCACTGGGAGCAGGAAGTTCAGTCCTGGCTCCAGTCCCACCACGGAGCACGGAGGGATGGACGGCCAGCTCACTGCAGACTCTTCCGTACATTCTCCTGGGAGGCCGTGCTAACCTTGCCAGCGGCACGTGTTCAAAGCGACGGAGCCAGGTTTTGGGAAGAGTCGTGGACTTCTCATCTCTAATAGGTGGCACCCACAATTCAGTGCTGGATATACTGGGAACACATTTTATAAGAAGACACCTGCATGTTGGAGGGGACAGCTTAGAGTAGGTGAGGGCAGAGAGATCCTCACCTCTCGGATCTAGCTGAGGGGTCAACTAGATCTTACAGCGTTCTCTTCTGGAAAAAAAGATCTCATTCGTGATGGCTGGAAACAAAGGGAGCCTTGCTTAAAGAACCTTTAGACGCTTCTAAAGCATGCAGACTTTGGGTTGGAAGAAACACCACACAAAGGGCCAGCAAGATGGCCTAGTGATGACACTCGCTGCCAAGCCTGACCACCTGAGTTTTATTCCCAGAAGCCACATGGTAGAAGGGGAGAACCCATTTCTACAAGTTGTCTTCTGACCTCCACAGGTGTGCTGCGATTTTTCACCACATAGACACACAGGCACACAAGCACACACACATACACATTAATAAAATAAATAAATAAATAAAAACCCTTCTTAAGAGGAACCATTATAAAGAGAGAGCGACTGAGGGGCTGGGGAAATGGCTTAGTGGTTAAGAACACTTACTACTCTTGCAAAGGACCCAGGTTCAATTCCCAGCACTCATGTCAGGCAGCTCACAAACACTGGTAACTCCGGTTCCAGGGGAGCCAATACCCTCTAGCCTCCATGGGTCCTTGCATGCGTGTAATACACATAACCTCATTCAGGTACACACATACACAGAAATTTTTTCAAATATTTTTTAAAGGACACGGTCTGGAGAGATGGCTCAGTGGTTAAGAACATTTTTTGTTCTTCCAGAAGACCCAGGCTCAATTCCCAGTACCTACGTGGTAGTTTACAACTGTCTGTAACTCCACTTCTAGGGGATCAGAGACCCTCTTCTGACCTCTACAGGTACCAGAGAATGTAGTATACAGCCATATGAAGGGGAAAAATATCAACATACATAAAATAAAATAAAACAAAACAAAAGGGACAGGCTGAACTGGGCATGGTTTAGTAACAGCACTTAAGAGGGAGACATAGGAGGATGGTGAAGGACTGAGGGCAGTGATACCTGAGGACTTGCTATGTTTTCGTTTCTGTTTTGTTGACAAGATCTCAATGTGGTTCAGGCTAGCCTGGAACTCACCATGTAGCCAAGGATAGCTTCCTCAGCCTCCAGATCTGAAGACCACTCCCCACCACCACCACACAGACCTTTTTTTTTTTCCTCCAAGACAGGGTTTCTCTGTTTAGCCTTGGCTGTTCTGGACTCACTTTGTAGACCAGGCTGGCCTTAAACTCATAGAGATCCACCTGCCTCTGCCTCTCCAAGTGCTGCCATGTGCCTCTATGCCTGGCTCTGAAGGCCCTTTTAAAGAAGAACCTGCATTCCTGTGGCTGCCATGATTAACCACACAGACTATATGCCTTTAAAACAGGAAATACATTTTCTTCATGGGTCTGGAGTACAGAAGTCTCAAATCCGTCTAACTGCGTAAAAAACCAAGGTCAAGAATCCAAGCTGAACTGCCCCACCAGCTCTGGGAGAATGTGTGCTTTCTCTAGCTTTGGTGGCTACTACCATTTCTGGATTTGTGGCCACATCACTTCAATTCAAAGCCAACAGCACAGGCCACGGCTGCCATGACATGGCCGCCTGAGGACTTCTGAAGTCCATCTCCACTCTGTTTTCTAAGGAGACGTGACTCTTCAGAAGCCCAAGATAGCCTAGACCAGTGGTTCCCAACCTTCCCAGTGCTGATACAGGTCCTCGTGTTGTTGGTGACTCCCTCCCACCGTAAAATTATTTCATTGCTACTTCATAACTAATTTTGCTACTGTTATGAATCATAATATAAATATCCCTGTGAAAGGGTTATTCGACCTCTCAAGGAGTTGAAACCCAGAAGCTGAGAACCAATGACCTTTATGAAGGCCCCACCTCAAGAACCTTGATTTGCAAAGGCATTTTGAAGTGAGGAGATGCTGGCAGGGCCTAAGAAACAGGACATAACCTACCTAGGGACCATTTTCTGCCCAGCACAGGAGACTTTGACGACACCTGCTTCTGCTGTTTTGAAGTCAGCAGGCCAGGCTGAAAGAGCACCCACTCTGAAGAAGAAGGCAATGAGCTGGAAGAGTGGTAGAGCTTCAACAAGATGATACCGAGGGCAAAAATAGTACCCAGAAGGCTCAAAAAGAGCATCCTTTGATGTGATTCCTCTTACAGAGAACAAGGGAGGACTCAGTCATGACAAAACCCAGAAACTCTGCACTCAGGTGTCAGGGATTCCAAAGGGAACAGCTCAGTGTTCCGGGGTTGGGAGCGGATGCTAAGCAGGTTGAACCTCTAATGGGATCCAAAAAGCTTGTGTTTAACCTCAGCTAGATCACACAGCTGTGACATTCATCAGGCTTCCGCCTAGGTCCCTTGGAAGCAGATGTTTATAAGGCACTACTTCAGGAGGGAGAGAGAGGCCAGAATGAGAGGAGCAAGGCAAGGAGCAAGGATCCGCAGCCACTCAGGAGCACGTGGCCAGACGCCTCCTCATGGAGGGCCTGAGGGACTGCAGAACCCCCGTCTCAAGACCCTCTTCCAGAGGGAGGAGGAGTCAGGATTTATCTCCTGGTTCCTGATTCCTGGTTCCCCAAACTAAAGGGAGAGCCCAGGAGGACATCAACCACCTGCACTCGGAATGTCCACATATGGACGTGCCCAGCAGTTCCTCGCCAAGACAGAGCAGCTAGAGTCCGCCTGGAAGGGCTCGTCACGGCTGAGATGGAACAAGCAGCCTGCCCAGAGATGGGTGGTCCAGGTGATACCCGCGGTGGCACATTCATGTCATCTAAAACCCACAGGTTGCAGGTCAGAACGGTGACTCAACATGCCTGTCAAGTGGCTCCTTCAGACAAGGTTTATGTGTGGATTAGTCGGGGGTCTCTAGAGGAACAGCACCGATGGAATGTATATTTCTTAACTATAGACCAGGTGCCTTTAAAACAGCAGAAATACATTTTTCTTTTCACGGCTCTGGTGTACAGAACGTTGGGCAGCTAGTCCAACGTCGGCTGTTTCCTGATGGGAAAGGTCAAGAATCTGGCGGAGGTTCCGCCCATGTGGCTGGATATCTCAGCTGATCTTCTGCCTACATTTGAGTCACAAGGAAGTAGGTTCGAATACCAGGGAAGGAACGCCTCTGCAGCAGGGTAGATGAACTTGCTGATAAAAGCAGGAGCAAGAAGGCAGAAAGCACGAGCTTCCTCCTTCCGTGCTGATTATGTAGGCTGCCACCAGAAGGTGTGGCCTAGATTTGGGATGGATCTTCTTGCCTCAAATGCCCAACTGCCGGAGTTTCAGTTCGTCTCACCTGGGTCAAGTTTACAACAAATATTAGCCACCACGTGATCCTAAAGGATGTTCTTGAATGTCGGCCCATTTAGTGTATGTGGCACCATACACCAGAAATATTTTCCAAACATGTGGCAGATGCCGGGCCTAAAAGTTTCACCCACAAGTTCACAGCTGTAGGAGACAATTTTCTGAATGAATAAAATTATGTCTGGCTTTTTGGGACCACGAATGAGTCCCTTCCCTCAAGCCCTTTGTGGTAGCTCTACCTAATAGTTCATCTGCCTGCCTTCCCACCATCCATTGATCTGATCGTTAACTTGGCTGTCCACTCCCCATCTATCAGTCAATCCCTTCATCTCCTCAGGGCTAGAGAAACTCCACTCGGCGCTTCATAGGGCCACTGTGTGCTGACACCCGCTTCACCTGATCCAGGGAACTTACCAGCTGTAGAACTATCTTAGGTGAAGATACAATCCAATCACAGGTCACTCAAAGAGCTCAACCATCATCCCTGACAGGCCAGTCTCAGAGCATTCTTTATTTTAAAAAATGTTTTTGCGTTGTGTAGATGAGTGTTTTACTTGCACATATATGCTTGGTGCCTATGGAGGCCAGAATAGGGCTTCGGGTCCCCCGAGATTAGGGTTACAGATGAT